GAGTTTAATATCAGTTGTGTGTAAATATGGCATTGGTGAATGAAATGTGAACCCATATAACTTGTAGGAACTTTGATTGCTGGGCTGCACATTTTTCTGTTATAAGTGCCTACTCAATTTTAATTATATCTTTTAAAATATAAGTGATATATTAAACTGAATAATAACTCAGAACTTGCATCTGAAAAGACCTTGACAACTTAGAAAATAAAATTTTCTTAGAAATAATCCTCTTAAATATTATTCAGCAATTTCAGTTGTGATATTTCTTCCCTTATTGTAAATTTGTAGTTACAAAAATCTCTTCCTGTTAACTAAGATATTTCCATACTTTCAATTCCATTAACTGGAGACATCTTCAATGGCATAATAGGTTTAATACTAAGTCTACTTCTTTCACACAGGACGATAGAATTATACGATTTTCACTCAACTTTCTTAGAAGAAAAATGTGGTAGAGTTGTGTTATTTATGGACTGATCCTACATGTTTTTAGAGTGGGAAGACACTTCGATTTCTATACTAAAGTCTTCCACTACGTCTACACTGCCTAAAATGCCCTTGAAACATAACAACGTTTTTTTAGTAGAGGAATACCATTTTATATAAAATGATAACTTTTTTTAAGTCGCGGGTTCGAATCTCATCACTGAACACGTTCACAGTTTCAGTGGTGTGGGCATTGTAATGTTACGAGCAATCCCACTCTTCACTGGTAAAAAGTTGGTGGTGGGTGGTGTTTACTAGCTGCCTTCACTCTAATCTATTACAGCTACATTAGGGACAGCTAACGCTGATAGCCCACGAATAGCTTTTCGCAAAATTCAATAAACACACAAACTTTCTCTAAACAAGTATGAGCATCTTTTTACCACAGTTAAACATCAAGCAGAAGGCTCAAACTTCTTACAAATTGTCACATCCTAAATCTTTACTTTTTCATCAACATTTTCATTTATGACAAAATAAGAATTCGTGAATAAAATTTTACAACTTTTGTAAATAAAAGATAATTTTAATAATATTTAAATGCTTTGAGGATTTCATATTTATTAAAGTAAATTTAAAAAACAAAATAGTTAAATATGTTAAATAAAATGCTCGTATTGCGAAAATTCTTAGGAAATTAAACTAGTCAGATAAAATGTCTAGCAGATGAAAAACAAAGTACGATATAAATTGAGCACAGCATTTTTCAACTTTAAATCTTACTTATTACTATTTTTTTCGTTTCCCGGCGGGACAGCAATAAGTTTCTGGATTTACAACGCTGAAATCCGGAATTCGATTCCCCGCTGTGGCTTTGTTCAATAAAAATTATTTTCTACATTTCCATTTCATTTCTTAAATTTGTGTATTAATGATTCAAAAACTGTATTAATTTTATAGATACGTAAAATAAACTAACAGCAAAAACTATAACAATTATAATATTGATACATCATGAAGAAAACGACAATAAAGTTGAGAATACTTTTTTATATTTCGCTCAACGTTCGACAACTTCAGGAGCGACTTTTCACTTAAACTGGTTGGCTTTCAATGGTTAGAACATAACAGTAAAATACCCAAGAAATTACTGATAGTATTGTAAACAAACCATAACATAAAACCGTAGTTTACGATTTGCCCACAGAAAACGAGGACGGATGCCACTCTGACCAATAAGGTCTACTTGTGGATCAGCAACAGTCATTGTTTGGTTGATCGAGAAAAAGAAAATATTCGTTATTATTTTTGTTCCAGATCATTTTATCAGCATAAGTTATTTCCTAGATAAGTTGTAAGATTTTCCACTACAGCAAATCTCAATCCTATTCAACCTAGATGTAGTTTCTCTCTACACCTCGAATAGAGGGCCTAGCTACGTATTCATGACGAATTATCAACAATCATAGAACAACATCGAATTGGCTTAAATGTTTCTGACATTCCACTGAAATTTATTTTAATCTGACCAATAGTTATTTTTGATTCTATAAAGATCTTTACCGACAAACAACAGAGGTTGATACGAGCAACAGAATTGCAGTAGTTTTTGCTATAGTGTTTATGCATAGATTAAAAAGTAACGAAGTAGCTTCTTGGTCCCAAACAAAAGGTGAACTTCTGTAGTGATTAAGATGTAATTATGAAATATTAGGAAATTGGCTACATACAAACATAACTTTTACATTCAGCGGAAAATACCCAACTCAGTTTATTAGATGTCCTTGATTATTCACAAAATCCTTCCTGCAGACTGGTTTCTCTACACTGTGATTCGTGCCACCCTATTTACAGAAAAACATCATAAATCACAGAACAAAATCAATCGTATTAGTAATTCTAGGCCCGGCATGGCCAGGTGGTTAGGGCGCTCGACTCGCAATCTGAGGGTCGCGATTCGACTCCCCGTCCGGCCAAACATGCTCGCCCTTTCAGCTGTGTGGGCGTTATAATGTGACAGTCGATCTCACTATTCGTTGGTAAAAGAGTAGCCCAAGAGTTGGCGGTGGGTGGTAATGCTAAATTGGGAACGGCTAACACAGGTAGCCCTTGTGTAGATTTGCACGAAATTCAAAACAAACAAACAATTGTGATTCTATAAAAAGCAAACTTAATGGTCTGATTGATTTAAAGCACGCGCTCGAACTGAATGGTTATTTACTCAGTTTTGTTTATAATACAGGTAAGAGGGTCACAAATATAACAAACAGAAGAATTAACAAAATGTGTCTGTTCACAATCCTGATAATGATTGCGAGAAAGAAATAGGTTTCACTAGATATGAAGTTGTAGGGGATAAATGTACAACACGTAATGTCAGTTACAAAGTAACTTGTACACTATGTAACGAATATTACGTTGGCGAAACATCTAGCTCATTACATGCTTTGTTAAAGTAGTTTAATATAGGAACGAATGCGGTAGCGGACCATTACTCAATAAAACATAGCAAACCAATATCTGACTGTCCTTTACAAATAGAAGTTACAGCCATAGCTAACGATTTTCTTGATCGTAATTAACACAAAGAAACTTTAGTTGTTTCGAAATTCAAGCTGCAAATCAGTCGAGATAATGGTTATTGTAGTTTTTTTTGCTCAAAGCTACACAATAGGCTATCTGCGCTCTGTCCACGCTGGTAATTGAACTCGCGATTTTAGCGCTGCAAGCCTGTAAACTTACGGCTTATTTACCATGGAACCGAGATAATGGACGGGCATTACGACATAATTGTATTTGTTTCGATTTTCCATGCTACTTTATGGAATGAATGTTTGCATTCGTTTACTTCTAATGCATGTATTGGTTGTATTTATAATTGAGTTATTTTCTTATTTCATTATTCTAATTAGTTGAACTAAACAGTTATGTTTACAAAGTATCTATTAGATTTTATGTTTTCGTTGATGATATATACATTTATTTTAATTTTGTATGATTGATCACAATTAGTATAAACATCATTGCACATGTGATCTCATTTTCTAGTTCTCCGTTGTTGCGTAGAACAAATTTAAAGCTTGATATAGCCATTGCGAGCCAACCAGTTTAAGTAGAAGGTCGTTGCTGAAGAAGTTTTACAAATAAAACATTGAGTGAAATATAGAAACGTTGTTCTGGACTTATAACCATTTTCTTCACTTGGAAATAAATACACAATAACTTGTTGCCATCTATTAGAAGTTTAGACGTGAAGCAATGTTGCATTTAATGGCAACATGCACTTTTTATGTTATTGTTAGACTTTCCGAGTTTATTGGAAGTGAAATATTTTTCTTTCTGCTTTGATAACGTTATTCTAGTGTTGCCACATTAAAGAATCACCTCAGTTGTAATTAAAACTAAAAGTGGAGAATTAGAAAGGATCAGAACATTTATACCATACATTATGCATCTAATGAAAATTTTCAAAGTGAATATAAATTAATAGTATCAGGGACTCAAGACAGGTAGCATTTTTTTTTTAAAGAAGTGTTGTGTGGAACTGGAAAGAAATCAAAGACTTTGCTTATGAGGAACACTTAAAAAATTCTGTGGTTAATTCAGATGTTAAATGAAACTGCAGTAAAACTCAAATGTGGTAATTTAAACTAACTTCTAAAAATTTTGGCTTCGTATCTAAAGCGTAACTGAAACACAGACAACAGTAGAGTCTGTTTGTATGAGTACAAAGGCATACCGTACATACAAGATAATTTAAAGATAAGGGAGCGTAAATGCAAAATGTTTGTCTTTTTCGTGAATTTTTTTATTCCAGACATATATAGAAAGATTCCAATAATACATAAGATAAAAAACAAATTACCATCTTTATATATTTAATGACACAACAAATCTTGTTTTCAGATTATTATTCTTTCTTGTATGACGTTACATATTATTTATTGAGTTAATGGACACCATGCAATCTATTTTTTGTTTGTTTCTGTGTTGTTGTTGTTATTTTCACGTTTTTTTTAGTGATCTAGCTAAAATAATCGATAATCTTAATCGGAATTATGTATAAGTATCGAATGGAATTGCAAAAATGATAATTGCTCAGCACTAATGCAAACGTACAGACTTTTTGCATGTATATATATTTTCTTGATAAGTTTGTTGTTATAGTCAGAATAAATATAAATCTCATCATATGTATAATTGTTAGAGTGCATAGATATTATGAAGTGAAAATATGTTCGAATATTTTGAGGATTTTCGATTTATTTTAAATTTTTATTAAGATTTGTGTTTTATCGGTACTTAAACAAAATTATCAGTGTTCCGCTAATTTCATCCTTTGAAGATTCAGTAGCCCATTTCTTCTCTCGTTAAATTTTTTACTTGGAATTACAATGTCCTTTACATTTTAATAAGATATTGCAAAATGAGTAAATAGGTGATCTACAGCATTTCTACATAATAAGAAATAATTTTGTTAGTAATATATTTCCCATATCTAAAGGTGTTGTGGCAGAAATAAATTCAGTTCTGTAAAATAAAAAAAAATCTTTATTATGTTTTTTGCTGGAGATTGTTGTTACACAGAGATATTTGTTTCTTCCAGAAAGTGTAAAAGTCATAGAGAAAGCCACAACACACTAAATGAAGATCCTGAGAAATAGCTTTAAAACAGCCACACAAATGTTACAGTGAGGATCAACACGATTATATACTTTTGTAACCGCTGTAATTGTTTTTGAGCCTGGAAACCAAGAAGATTTATGAGTGCGGGAGTTATTCAAGCTTTCTCACACAATCCAATGAGTTGCGATTCGAGACTAATTCTGGCTGAAAGTGAGTAGGTAATCACAACTGCTAGTGTTAAAGATTTCAGCAAGACAGAAAACCAGTCTTCTGTGTTCCTCTTGTGCCCTTAAGGTAAGACCATAATAATTCATCATTTAATTTCTCTAGTGTACATTGGAGTATAAAAGACATTTTAATAGTAGTAATAAATTATCTTATAACATAAAATTTGTTATTTTTCTTCTTTAAATGGACACTTAACGTTCAGCTTTACACCTTCTTCAGGAGCGTTCCACTAAAACACAAACCGTAACTGACAGTACAAAGCTTCAATCACTTCAAATAGTAAATTCTAATGGAATCTATAGCATACGTTTGGCATATTAAGTAGTAAATCTTAGTATTATATTTTTCATAAGACATTAGTATTAGGCACTTTTCATTTTTAAACACTACTTTCTTAATCTACTCCCTCAGGAATTTTCAAGAATTAGAATAGTGTATAATAGTATTCCAACCATCTTTCTTCGCCGGCTTCTAAAGGACGTGCACACCATAACAATAGTAAAGCTTGGTGTTGAAAGAATTGTATTGTTGAAATAATAAATTGTATCCTGTAGTAAATAATAATTCTATCTAATTTATAGATTAAGAGAAAAGAAGTTAATATGAAAAGCTAACACATTTATAATCATAATTGTAGGCGCCATCCTTTGTCCCTATTCACCTGCGGTTTGAGATTCTTTATATTTTCCGTCAGTGTACTTGGTGGGTTTGGTAAGGATTTGTAAAGAGAATGGTGGACTCGTGTCAGGAGTTATTTGTCCATGATTAGTTAAAAAATGATTGAAAACTTTTGGATGATGTAAGTTAAAGTTGAGAAAAAAGAGGGTTTTTAATTGATTTGTAGATCGCATATTTTTGTCATTATCGATCATTTAGGTAACTCAAGAAAATCTTTACTCCTCTTGTCATTCGAATGATTCAGATTGAATTGGATGTTGGAGTTTGATTAATTTGATTAAAGAAGGAAAGCCATGGTTTCTCCTTGAAACTGCTAGCTAAGGGACCTGATTTTCCAATAACAACTAAACATTCCAACAAAACGTGTTCTATGAAAAAAAAGAAATGACTAAATCTTTTACTGCGAACAACAGCTAATAAAGGTATTATAACGAATATCGCAGATGTGAGAAGAAAGATCAGGAACGTTTTACAAAGACATAAAAATCATCAGACCAACTCTAACTTAGATACCTAAGAACTTAAAAAACTTAAAAAAGATTCCAACATCATCTTTAAGGAATCCGACAAATGTAAAGGTTTTGTGGTTATGAGCTTAAATACTTATGAACAAAAAATATAAAAGACGGGAATAAATTTCAAATACTTAACAGTAACCCAACCAAAAAATGTAGATGAAAGCTAAAGACATTATTTATGAACTTAAAAAAAAAACAAGCGAACTCCCCAAGAAGCTTCAGGATGAACTTAAACCCTCTAATAGCCGCATTTCAGAATTACGCCACTGAAAGTCTGTCTTGACTTATGCATACAATTTTAGAGCCGTTACTAAATTACTTCAAGCAAGTTTCCAAGAAAGGTGAAATTGTTGAATAATTCTAAAGAATCGATCGCAATTATAGTAAAAAAAAAAAAACGCTACACGCTAGGAACTAAAATCACTCCTTTTGAATAATAATTACCCACCTTTGTTCATCGAGCAGAATTTCAAGGACTATATATAACGCGCAAAAAAAGTAATATTGCATCTCCAATGTGAAAAACAAAGAAGAGATAAACCAAGAAGAAAAAGACAATTTTCCAAAGAAACCAAAAAAGATTATTTTTACGATATCCCCAACTGATGAAAGTATCTCCAAGAAGATATAATCCATAATCAAGACATCTGAACGGCCGATTAAAGTGGTAGTACGGTCAGATCCAACCCTAAAAAGCTAATTTACCAAATCTACATACACTACCTTTCAATACCCACTGTCTTACGAAAACGTGTTTGTAATATAAAGGTGGGTGTTTTGCCTATAATGTTGCTCATCAACTTGCATGTAACATCTGCCATCATATGTACTAGGGAGAAACCGGAAGAACCCTGCACAGAAGGATAGGAGAAGATATTGACTCTCTCTACGATGAAGGATGACCCCTATCATTATAACTATCATTTTAGTTTTTCATCTTAACTTCTGTTATTTTAATCTGTAAATTAGATATAACTTTTTGTTTACTACGAGTAACAAGTTATTATTTCAACAGTACAATTCTTTCAACACTAAGCTTTACTACTTAACATGTCAAATGCACGCTGGAGAAACGTACGCCATAGATTCTGCCCAAATCCCAATCCTGGCACCGTAATGCACGGACCCTAGTGGCTCAGCTTTAAGTCTGAGGGCTAAGAACGCTTAAAACCGGGTTTTGATACTCCTGGTGGGCACAGCACAGATATCCCATTGTATAGCTTTGTGCTTAACAGCAAACAAAACAAACTAATCGAATACTACTACATTTTACTGTCATGTGATGTGGCGAGACTAAACATTCAGCGTTTGAAAGGAAAAAAGTAAGTCTTTGATAGTTATAAACAAAAGGTAATCCTCAATAGCCGCGGCACATCAAATTCTTTTACACAGGATTAGAGTAAATTAATCTACGAGACCTTTTTTATTAACTATATTTTTGCGAGTTGGCAATACCAAGCGTGAGGCGCGCGTATACCCGATTCAATTATATTACTCATCAGGATCTCTACCAGCCTATCCTAACATTGAAATTGGGCATGGCCTAATACATCAGTGGAAAGTGTTTGACCTCCTGAGTCCAAAACTGTAATTATATCTCAGATCGGTCAAGAGATGACGGAGCTATGAGCTAAAACTTTGTACTTGAGAAAAACATTCAGAACCATTTTATAAGCCGGCTTGTCGCGACTAAAAAGCATGCAATATTTCCTTAACTC